CCATGTTGTAGCATGTATCGATATCTCACTTCTTCTTGGGGCTGAATAATATTTTATTTTATGCACTAAAAAAAAGTCATGTTTCAGACACTTCTCTGTAGCTTACTTATCTCAACTAGCTGTATAGTATGTAAGTCCTTTAAACTCAACTGGTTTTGATCTAATCCATTCAGTCTAGTGGCTGTATAACATTCTTGGCGTAGATATACCATAATTTATTTTACTATTCTCCACTGATACTTCCATTCTTTTTAACTAATATATATTTATCATAATTAATTTTTTTAGGTCGAAGAGAGAATTTAATAGGAAAAAAAGATATTAGAAAACAAAACAAAATGAAACAATAGTCTTTTGTGTTGATTACTTTCATTTAACATAATGTTTTCAAGGTTTGTCCATGTTGTAGCATGTATCGATATCTCACTTCTTCTTGGGGCTGAATAATATTTTATTTTATGCACTAAAAAAAAGTCATGTTTCAGACACTTCTCTGTAGCTTACTTATCTCAACTAGCTGTATAGTATGTAAGTCCTTTAAACTCAACTGGTTTTGATCTAATCCATTCAGTCTAGTGGCTGTATAACATTCTTGGCGTAGATATACCATAATTTATTTTACTATTCTCCACTGATACTTCCATTCTTTTTAACTAATATATATTTATCATAATTAATTTTTTTAGGTCGAAGAGAGAATTTAATAGGAAAGAAAGATATTAGGAAAGAAGTGCACCCAAAAGACTTTTAACCAGGCAAATTGCTAACTGCAACTTGCAGTAGCAACTGCTGCCCATAATGACTATTCTTAAACATATATCTTTATGTACTGCTGATTTGGTTTGGAAGATAGATTCTGAGGAATGACATTATTTGATGGAAGGAAATAAGTATTTTTTATTGTAATGACTAGTATCAGATTGATCTTCATAATCGCTGTAACAGTTTATGGTTGTAAAATTTTTTCTTACCCGTTAAACTTTTGCCAGTCTGGGTAGAATCAAATTGTAAATCACTGTTTCTTTTATTTATATCTTTCTAATGGCTAGAGACTTAGAGCATCTCTTTTCAAGTTTATTGGCCATTCATCATTGCTCTTCCACAAACTGTCTATCCAAATAGATTTCTATTGGTCTTCTGAATTATTACCAATTTGTAAAAACACTTTATACTGTCATTCTTTGGTACCCATAAGAGACTGGTCCCAAAATTTGTGGGTACCCAAATCCACGAGTGGATCATGTCCACAGTCCCTAGTGAGTGTACATTAGTCCTATTGGCCCTGTGGGGCTGGGACCATTTTTCTCCAAGGCACAAAATGCTACTGAGTCTAGCTGGTGTGACAGTGCTCCAGCCACTTGTATGGGCATGATAGGATGTCCGTGGGGCCTCAGAGATGGTAATAAAGGGGCAATTGGCCCCCAGGGTAGGGTGCATTTCAGCATTTTGACTCTGCTCTCAAAATGGCCCTTTACTGTAGTTATTTGGGGCCATACTAGTGGGGGTGACGCTTTATTGGAGCCATGCTTTCTACAATGGGTTCAGAGCCCATTGAGGCTATGGGGCTTTCCCATAGCCAGGACCATTGTAACCTATGATGGCAATGCAGGCTGCTAGAGATCTCTCGCTTACCCTGTTTCAACAGTGGGGAGTCTCTCACAGGTCCAGTCTATCCCCAGTTTCAGTGCATTGCTAGTATCCCAAGTTTTTGTGCTTCAGAAGACTTTAGTCATTTCTCTGCTAAATTCCCATGTTTTTCTTTAGGTACTTGATTTGATTTGAAATGAATCGAGTTAATTTGTAATATCCAAGTTAATTTTTGTGTTAGCGTAAAGGAAGGGTAATAAAGGCTAAGTGAAGTCAAGAGGGTAGGGCTGTAATTTAATAGGGCTTGTGTCCTTATTTACAAAAACGAAGAGATACTAGAGTTCTATCTCTCTATATTTATCAGTTTGTTTCTTCTTATAGAGGAGATGAGTCTCTGTAGTCAGCCATCTTGGTCCCTCTCTGGAATGTCCCCTTGTTTTTAAGGTTGAATAACATTCCATTGTATATATGAGGGGACTTCAAAAATTTTGTGGAAAATGGGATTAAAGTACAAGTTGATTTTGGCACAAAAAATTTAAATCCATGAATACTTTTCTCATAATAAGCATTTTCATGAACTTTTTGAATACCCTCTCATAGAGACTACATTTAATTATCCATTCATCTATCAATGGACGTTAAATTCCTTCCACCTTTTGGATGCTCGTATGAATGCAAGTATATAGATACCTATTTGAGTCCTTGCTTTCATTTCTTTTGGGTATATGCTCAAAAGTGGAATTGCTGGGTGAAATCAACAATTCTGCGGTTATAGTTTTTGATGAATTACTATTCTGTTTTCCACAGTGGCTGCCCCATTTTTCATCCCACCAGTAGCACACAGGAATTCTGATTTCTGCACATTCCCACCAATATTTGCTATTTTCTTATTTCTGTGTGTGTGTGTGGGTGGGTGTGTCTTTAATTTAAGTAATAGCCAACCTAGCAGACATAGAGTGGTATCTCACTGTGAGTTTGATTTGCGATTTACTAATGAATAATACGTTGGGCATCTTTTCAGGGGCTTATCGACCATCGATAATTATCATTAAGAAATGTCAGTTTCAGCCCTGTGCCCATTTTTAAATAAGTCATGTTTTTTCATTGCTAAATTGTAGGAGTTCTTATTATGTATTCTGGATAGTAATCCCTTAGCAGACACATGATGTGCAATATTTTCTCTCATTTTGTTAATTTTCTTATAAGAAATTATTGATAATGTCCTTTGATGCACAAAAATTTTAAGATTTGATGAAGCCCAACTTAGCTATTTTTGCTTCTATTGCCTGTTTTTTTGGTGCCACAGCCAAGAAATCTTTGCCAAATCCAATATAGTGGCATTTTTCTCTTATGTTTTCTTCTAAGAGCTTTATAGTTTTATATTCTACATTTTAGTCTTTCATCCATTTTGAGTTAACTTTTGCATAGGGTATAAGATAAGGGTACAACTTCATTCTTCTGTATTTTCAACTTTCCTACACCATTTGTTGAAAAGACTGTTGTTTCCCTATTAAATTGCCTTAGTACTCTTGTCAAAAATAATTTCACCATTATTATGGACTGAATTGGGTTCTCCTCAAGTCCTCATGTTGAAGCCTTAATTCCTAATATGCCTGCATTTGGAAACATCTGAAAAGTTATAGTAAAGACTAAGTGAAATCATGAGGGTAGGGGTATAATTTAATAGGACTAGTGTCCTTACAAAAACAGGAAGGGGTACCAGAGCTCGCTCTCTCTCTCTCTCTCTCTCCATGTGCCACCAAGAAAAGGCCAGGAGAAGAAGTAGCAAAAAGGCAGCCATGGGTAAGCCATGAAGAGAGCCTTTGCCAGAAATTAAACTGATTCACACCTTGAACTGGGACTTTTAGCCTTCAGAACCATGAGAAAATAAATTTCTACTGTTTAAGCCACACAGTTTACGGTACTTTGTTATGGAAGCCTGGTGAATACGACCACACATCCACAGTTTTATTTCCAGGCTGTCTAACCTATTCCATTGGTCCTTACATCTGTCTTTACACCAGCACCATAACGCTTTGATTACTATAGCTTTGTAGTCAGTTTGAAATCAGAAAGTATGAGACAAGCACATTTTTTTCTAAGATTGTTTTAACTTTTTGAAATCCCCTGATATTCCATAGGAGTTTTAAAATGACTTTTTTTTATTTCTGAAAAAAATATTGAAATTTTGCTAGGGATTGCCTTTAATTTATAGATCACTGAGTGGTATTGACATTTTAACATCGTCTTCTTATCCTTGATCACAAGATATCTTTCCACTTATTTGTGTCTTTGATTTGTTTTTAGGAATGTTTTGTATTTTTCAGTGTACAAGCCTATTGCTTCCTTGGCAATGAAGTTGGTGAAGTCCATTTCTACCTATTTTATTCTTTTCGATGCTTTTGTAAATGGGATTGCTTTCTTCTTTTCCATAGTGGATTGTTCATTGTTAGTACATAGAAACACAGCTTATTTTGTCTCCTGCAACTTTGCTGCATTTTTTATTAGTTCTAACCATTTTTATATGGAGTCCCTAGGATTTTCTATAAGATAGTATCATCGGACTGACCCCATAGTGCAGTGGTTAAGTCCTGTGCATAGGGAGTTGGATCCCACATAGCTGACCATGATTTTAATCCAAGCCCTGCAGCTTGAAAAACACACCAGATGTGTGCCCCAAATCCCACTGAGATGGAGAAATGGAGGGAAAAGACCGTGTGTAATCATACCCCAGTGTGTGCAGGGCGTGCCCTCTCACATCTTTCTCTCTGGCAAATGCACTCACTCCCTGTCAATATAGAAAAAATAATGATAATAAAAATCATGCCATTTGTGAATAGAGAGAATTTTATTAGGTCATTGAGGAAGTCATGATGTATTTTTCTATGCACAAATGTATCATGACTTTCCTGACAACCCAATACTTATTTCTTTCCAATTTGGATGTCTTTCTTTCTTTTCTCTGCTTAACTGATCAGACCAGAAGTATCAGTCGAATATGTGGAGTAGAAGTGGTGAAAATGAGCATCATTGCCTTTTTCCCGGATTTGGAAGGAAAAACTTTCAGCCTTTCACTATTGAGCAGGATGCTTGGAAGGGTTTCTCATATATGGCCTTCAGTGTGATGAAGTAATTTCCTCCTATTATTAATTTGTTGCACTCAAGACAGAGAGAATGAGAGAGGGAGAGAGAGAAAAAGGGGGAGAGAGGGAAATCTCTCTCTGGGGGGGAGAAATCACCTCCCAGGGGACATGGCCATGCAGCAGTCCCTTCTCATCTATTTTTCTCTTGGGATTCTGGGCACAAACACACACATGCCTAGCATATTTTTTCAAGTCACCGAGTCCAGGACTTGAATCACAGAATTGGTCCTGTGGAATCCAGCACCTTAACCACCATGCCACCTACTGGCTCCAGTTTCCTAGTTTGCTATTGTACTACATTTCTATAAGATGTAATCATTGGGAGAAACTGAGTAAAGAATACACTGGATCTCTGGACTATCTTTACAACATTCTCTGAATCTATAATTATTTCCAAATAAATAGATGAAAGAAAATTAAAACCTTGGTCAGATGTCACTTATTTAGGTGGTTTTCATTTCTTACATTATATGCAGACTAAGGACCTGTAGCCAGTGTTTCCTAAGACTGCGTTTCAGTCTGTCCTAATTATAGCAGAGTAAAAGGAGACTCTTGTGTAGCACTGAATAAGCTCTGAGTGCTTTATGAATACAGGTTAATCAGTCCTCACGAAGTCCTGTGTGAGATATAGCATCATTATCCCGATTTCACAGATGGGATCTGAGGCACAGAGAGTGCTAGAGAGTGCTGGAGTGGCATACGGAGCCAAGGAAATGACATGCACAGTCCATCGCGTATTTGAAGTACAGACATTCTGGGGGCCAGTGATAAGGCAGTGCTCTGTGATGCTGCACCCACATGAGAAGGTACAAAGTTCACATCCTGGAGTCCCCCTGTCTACATCAGGTGCATGCTTGCTCATGATCCAGGCTGGCTGGAGCTGGGGGTGAATTGCAACACAGGACCCTATGGGGGAGATCTCTTTCTCTGCCTCTCTTTTTTCTGCCTCTCTCTGTATCTCAAGGAAGGGATAGATAAGTAAACATTAAAAATGTATATATAAAGACACTAAAGAAAATGGAGGTAAGTGTGCTACTTTCAGAGATAACCATTAAAATACAAGATGTTTTACCTGGCTCTTTTCTTTTGGCTGTTTCTCATCTAATAAAGGAATCTGCTTTTGTTTTTATAGTAACAATGCTGATGATCAGCAGATCAAGGATAGGCTGGAGCAGTTGAGATGTCACTTTACATGGAAGTTGCTCTTTGAAGACTCTGAAATGCCTGATTTAGAAAACAGGATCTTGGATGAGATGGAGTTCCTAGACACTAAATACAATGTAGGAATCCACAACATACTGGCCTATGTGAAACACCTGAACGGCCAGAATGAGGAGGCCCTGGAGTGCTTGAAGAATGCTGAAGACTTAATCCAGAAGGAGCAAACCGACTACTTGGACATGAGGAGTCTGGTGACCTGGGGCAACTATGCCTGGGTCTACTACCACATGGGCAGATTGGCAGAAGCCCAGACTTACCTGGACAAGGTGGAGAATGCTTGCAAGAAGTTTGCAAATCTCTTCTGCTATACAGATTGTCCCTGGATGGACTGTGAAGAAGGATGGGCTTTGATGAAGTGTGGAAGAAAGAATTATTTACGGGCCAAGGCATGCTTTGAAAAGGCTCTGGAAATGGACCCTGACAACCCTGAATTTAGCGTTGGCTATGCGATCATCATCTATCGCCTGGATTGCCTTAACAGAATAATACAGAATAGTGACTACGCGCAGTCTCTGCACCCGCTAAGGCAGGCCATCAGGCTAAATCCAGAAGATAGTTATCTGAAGGTTCTCCTTGCCCTGAAGCTTCAGGATTTAGGAGAGGAAGATGAAGGAGAAAAGTACATTGATGAAGCACTGAGCAGCCAGTTCTCGCAAACCTATGTCTTTCGATACGCAGCTAAATTCTATAGAAAAAGAGGGAACTTGGAGAAAGCTCTTCAGCTTTTAAAACAGGCTGTGCGGAACACACCCGCCTCTGCTTTCCTGCATCACCAGATCGGACTTTGCTACAGGGCCCAAGCATTACAGATCAAATCAGCTGCAAAGATGCAACCAAGAGGGCAGGACAGAGAAAATGTCAACAGATTGTTAAAATCGGCCATATTTCATTTTAAATTTGCCGTGGATCAAAAGCCCACATTTGAGATCGCGTATTTACACCTGGCCAGTATGTACGGGGAAGCAGGCAATCACCAAGAGGCTGAAGACATTTTCCAGAAAATGTTACACATGACGCCACGGGAAGAAGAAACCCTGCAAGAGCTATATTTGTTTTATGGCCGATTTCAGGAATTTCAAAAGAAATCTGAAGCCACTGCAATTGCCTATTACTTAAAAGCAATCAAATTAGAGCAGCCGTCATTTACAAGGGATAAAGTTATCACCTCTTTGGAGAGACTGGCTTTAAAGAAATTTCGGAGAAATCCATCTGACCTAGAAACCTTGAGCCTCCTTGGGTTTGCCTACAAATTGAAAGGAGAACTAAAGGAAGCCCTGGAATACTATGAGCGGGCGCTGAGACTGGCGGCTGACTTGGAGAACTCTACGGAACACGGCCCCTAGCTGCTGAAATGGTGGACACTTTTACATTTCACTTGATTTTAGGTTAACATGGACCAATCACCTTTTCCACTTGCTACTGTCAGAAATACATTATGCAGTACCAGCCGGTGGTGTAGTGGTTAAGGCGGTGGTCTCCCATGTAGTCAATCACAGTTCGAGTCCTGGACCTGGTGGATTGAAATTTATGCTGGGCCCATGGGCATGCCTGCTTAAAATCCTGAGAGGAAAATGAGGGAGAAAGGATTGTGGTGTGGCCATTCTCCAGGGGGGGTGATTTCTCAGTTGCTATCTCTTTGTCTCTCTCTCTATCTCTCTAGTGAGCATACATACCCTATAACAAAAATCTTGGAGAAAAATATATTATGTAATTCATTGAATGATGCAGTTTTTCAGCAACTACTCAAACTTGAAAAAATATTAGTTATATTCAAAAATAGTGAACCAGAATATGTGTGTCCTGAGAGAGAGAAAAATCATTTGCATGAATACTGTAATAGAAAAAACAGTTCGAGTTTGTAGCAAATAACACATTTGGATTTACATATGCTAACATGTTCATTTAACTCATCCAGTTTTGCCAACAAATAGTTTTCAGTGCTAGATAGCAAAAAACTATAGTGAACAGGTAGACATTTTTCCTAAGCTGCATGTAGTTTTTTTTTTAATTATTTTATTGAATTTTATTCATCACTATTTTTTTTTAATTTGATCAGAGAGAAACAGAGACAGAGAGAGGAAAGTGAGAAAGCAAGCCACAAAGTCTAGGACTTGAACCAAGATCAGCCATGTGGGAGTCCACCGTGCCACCTGCTGGCCCAAGCCCCGTGTAGTTTACAATCTGAGAAAGATAGTAAAAGAAGTACATAATCAATTAAATGTGAGCTTCCTTTGTGGAGATACTTTAATTTCTTGTCAAATTGTTCCAAGAAGTTTCTCCTGCTTTATGCCTTTTTATCTGAAGCACTGTTTAAGTCATTTGCTTATATCAATCTACCAATAGTTAAGTTGAAAAATATGAAAATGATAGAAATGTTATAATAATTTGATATGTACTTCCAAAAACAGTGTAACTAGTAAAACTTATTGACTATGAACAACATAACGTAATGTCCTATGTCAAGTAAGATGGCTATTTCTATATCCTTGATTCGATTTTTACATACTGCCTGCTTTGAAAAGCCATACTGTACCCCATAAAGATGTATAATGATGAGATGTAAGCCAGAAATCGCAATAAAAAGAACTATGACAACGATGCCGATGGTCTGAAGGACTGTCGCTGTCACCTTTGATTATGAGTAATCACATTTTATTGAAAGGCAATGCATGACAAATAATAAAAGAAAAAGATAAAGAAGCAAAGTTCTTATTTTTCATTCTTATATATGTTTGGGGGGAGAGGCCGTATGGGTTTCCTATTGTTGCTGTAATACATTTCCATCATCTCGATGCCTTAAAACTTAACGAATTCACCATCTTAGGGCTCTGGAGGTCGGAAGTCTGAAATGGGCTTCACTGGGCAGAACCAAGGTGTTGGCACAGCCGTGTTCCTCCAGGAACACGGTTTCAGGGGACTTGCTTTCTGTGCCTGAATTCCCTGGCTGATGACTTTGCCATCCAACTTCAGAACCGCCAGTGTCGGCCCAGTTCCGTGGCGCACAGTAATGCTCTGCTCAAGAGAGCTGGGTCCCTTGAGACCAGCAGATTGCATATTGGTTACACCACTTGTCTCCCATGTAATCGACCACGGTTCAAGTTCGGGACCCAGTGGCTTGAAACTCATGCTGGTGTGTGTGTGTGTGTGTGTGTGTATGCCTAAAATCCTGAGAGGGGAGTAGAGGTGAAGGGATTGTGATGTGGCCACCCCCCCGCCCCCCGCACCAGGGGGTGATTTTGCACTTTCTTTCTCTCTGGCAAGCACATGAGCCCTAGAGCAAAAATCTTAAAAAAAAAAAAAAGAGAGAGAGAGAGAGAGATTGAGAGCTAGATCCCACTTGGTGACCAAGGTTAAAATCCCTGGCCCTGAGGCTAGCAGGTGGCGTGGTGGTTAAGGGCACTCGACTCACACATGGGTGACCACAGTTCAAGTCCTAGACCTGGCAGCTTGCTTTCTCATTCTCTCGCTCTCTCTCTTTCTCTCATGCTGTCCCTCTCTGGTCAAATTAAAATAAATGCGGTTAAATAAAATAATTTTAAAAATCCCTGGCCCAGCTCATCTAAAACACTCCAGGCACCTGTGTGATTGCCCGAGATGCGGAAGGCTTGGAGGTAAAAGGGGTGAAGGAGTGAACAGACGCTGTGGAGGTCGCTCACCTCTCTGGAGCCCATGTCCATGCGATGGCCGCTTCCAAGCTAATGGCGGCTCCTGGCAATCCTCAGTGTTCCTTGCCGTGGGGCTACGTCCCTCCACTCTCTAGCTCTATCTTCATATGGTTCTCTCTCTGTGTTTATCCCCAGATAGCCCTCTCTCTTCTCTTAAAAAGACACGTCTTCAGGGTGAAACCTAACTCCAGGATGATTTCAACATCAGATCCTTAATTACATCTTCAAAGATCCTGTTTTCAAGTAAATCACATTCCGTGTGGACATGAATTTTGAGGGGACACTTTTCAACCCACCACAGGGAGCCATTCCTCTGAGTTGGTACAAAGTGAGCAACGAAGACCCTGAAAGCCAAGGAGGCCATGAGAACACAAGTCCCCAAAAGGTTCACAGAAACATGAGCAGGGCTTTAACTTTTCTTTTCTTTTCTTTTCTTTCTTTTCTTTTCTTTTTTTTTTTAAGAGGTTTTTGCTATAGGGCACGTGCACTCGCCAGAAAGACAGAGAGAGACAGAGAGACAGAAAGCGAGAAATCACCCCCCAGGGGGGATGGCCATGCCGCACTCCCTTCTCCTCATTCTCCTCTCGGGATCTTGGGCACGCACGCACATGCGCCTGGCATGAGTTTAAGCCACCGGGTCCAGAATCTGAACTGCAGTCAACTACATGGGAGTCCAGCGACATAGTCATTACGCCAGCTGCTGGTCCTGAGGGCTTTGACTTTCTGCTGAAATTCTATAGGAATGGGAGGAGTGAGTAAAATGTATCTGTATCATTGAGGAGCAGGCACCAGAGTTACAAGGAGGTAATCTTTCTCATCTCTGTTATAAAAAGAGATCATTAGATTTAACGAAAAGGTTAGCTTAAAGTCTTTGTGTTTAGAGAAACAGACCGTATGATATATGTGAAATAAGTCTGATCACTGCCGACTCTCCCAGGGAAGAAGTATAAAATGTAAATCCTTGTTGTATAATTGGCTAGCTCTCTGGCTATTGGCCAATACTACCCAGGTATTTCTACCCATTATTTGCACCCAGGAAACAGAGCCAATTAATGCAAAATAAATCTCTGGATCAAGTATTTATTTAGGTGAAATATATTTGACAGTCTCCAGAGATCACAGCTGCTTAGTGTGTTTTATTGTTAACAGTGCCTCACGGTTCCTTTCTTCTCAGTATGGAAGAGATCTCTGCACTTCTCAGAGCTCAGTAATACTAAAATGTTACAGTCTGGATGTTTGCAAAGAAAAACAACAAACTGCAAATCCAGAACCAAAAATGCTCTTTTGTATTGAAAATACTATTGCCAAACTCATACACGAGCATCTCTGGCAAGACTAAGAAGTCTCTGGATTGGCAGCTGCATGTACCTTCTGGCAATTAAGAGAAAAATAAAAAATAAAAATTACGGATACTAAGTGAGAGCATGATTTGGGGCCAGGAGGCAGCAGTGTGGTAACACAACTGGACCACATAGGACAGGTCCAGAGCCGGGACCTTCCTCAGCCCTCCAGGTAGGTTCACACGTGCCATGATCCGGGCCATCTGAGACTGGAGATGGATCTGGGCACAAAGATCTCTTTCTCTTTCTAGGGAGAAATAAATAAACTTTAATAAATAAACAAATAAATAAATAAAGGTAGTATTTACAACCATAATTTATAACTATGAGGGGTGCAAGAAGGGAGGGGAAGACCTTGTCTCCCTTTCCAGGGGGCATTTGGCAATGTCAGATGTTTTTAGTCACCCAACTTCCGGGTACTACTGCCATCTAGTGGGTAGAGATAGCAATGATACTCAACATGGAGCTATGCCCTGGACTGCGTCTCAACAGAGAACTACAGTGCCAAGCTTGGGAAATGGTCTTAAACCTATTTCTTGAAAAAGTTACTGAAATTGCATGCTTATTCTAAGGCACTACTTGTGGAAGTTCTTACCTATTTCTTTAAGTTTCAGTTTCCCAAACTGATTTTAATTAGTTAAGGAGAAACAAAGATACGGAACCTGATCAGAACCCATTCAGGAAACTGAATATGTTTCCTTTGTTTTCTCTTTTCTAGCTGCTGTATTTTAAATGTTGATAAGAACAAACTCAGGAACCAGCATATGGCGTAGTGGCTGCATCACTGGACTCTCACATAGCGGACTGTGGTTCAAGTCTCAGACCAGGCAGCTTGAACTCATGCCGGGCACAGGTGTGTGTGTGTGTGTGTGTGTGTGTGTGTGTGTGTGCCCAAAATCCCAAGAGAATGGAGGAGAAGGGATTGTGGCATGGCTATACTCCCAGAGGGGTGATTTCTCACTTTGTGTCTCTCAGTCTCTCTCTGTCTCTCTGGCGAGCACATGTGCCCTATAGCAAAAACCTCTCTGCCTAAAAATAAAAAATAAAAAAATGAGTAAGTTCAAAGGGCACTGATTCATTCTCCCAATAATCCATCCAATCCAAAAGAGGGTTAAAAAAAAAAAAACTCACTTCCTGTCTCGTCATTACAGCCTGTTCTACTCATCAGGCCTTTTCTTGGTTTTTTCTCAATCTTGAAAATGTGTATTCTTTAAAGATATTTTACAGTTGATTTTTGTTTTCCTGAATTGAAATTGCTAAACAATGTAAGTAGATAAGCAGAAGTTTTTCTTCCCAATTTTTACCACTGATTGCCTAGTTACTAACCATTTAAACCTTAACAAATTAAAACCACTTCTTAATCTAGCTGCAGCTGGGGTGCGGGGAGAGTTGGGTAGAGGCGGAAAGATATCGATGCACTGGAAATTTTCCAACACTGGAATGCTAGTGAGTTGTTCTATATCCATGGCTAGCACAGTGACACACAGACAATGTGACATTCTGCAATGTGAAGCCACGTGGGAAGGTGCCCAGGTCACATCCTGAGGGCTCCCTGTCCATGGTGTGAGCCTGCCTGACTGAGGCTGGGGTGATGATGGTGTGAAAACCCCATTTGGGGTGCTCACTCTCTCTCATGGGAGAAGGAAATAAACAATTTCTTTTTCTGCATTCTTGCTAAGGAAGACATTTTGGATTTATTTTTCTATGCAAAATCAATCTTTCCATATCTTTTCCCAACTTTGGCTTCCATTTAAGGTAAACCTGAGACTAGCTACACCACTCCCAAGTCTCACATCACCTCTTTGCTTCTTGAGGCTTCTCTTCAGCTCTTTCCACTCCACTCCAGACATACCATCCACATACGTCAAGTCTGTTCCTGCCTGAAGGGCTTTGCACTTACTGTTCCCTCTGCCTGGAATGTCCTTCCCAGCCCCAACCACAGCACTTGCTCCTTCATTCACCCCCTTCAGACCTTTGCTCAAGGGCCACTTTCTCAGGGAAGCCACCACTTCATCCTTGGTAAAAAAGCAGACCTCCCTGGGCTCTTCCTGTTGCACCATCTGACACACAGCCATTCCCCTTACCATTCACCCAGCGCACCTGCCCTTCACTCCATGAAGTCCCTCTCTTGTTTTCTTTATCTCTATGTTGACAATATTTTGAACAAAGCTTGGCTCTCAGTACTTTCCCATAACTATCTTAAATCGGGTCAGCTCCCTTGACCTAAGCACAAAGGACCTCAGTTCAAAGCCCAGCCTCCTCAGTCTGAAACACTGTAGACACAGGATCAAATACCCGAGCTCCCCCGGGAGGAAGAGCCAGAGGACTCACGCTCTCACGCTCGTATGCATGCACTCTTGTCATGAGAGAAGAAAATTATTAAAATTTGTTGACAGAATGAATGAATAAATTTGGAGGGGCCAAACTTTTCATGGATGTGTATTTGGAATTTTCTGCTTAAATCCCAGCCGCGTCTGCAGGGAGACCGCGTTACACCAAGTGCACCAGCGAGGGCCTAGGAGGAAAGGCTCTTGTACAGTTGCGGGTGGGAGCGCGCCCCCTCTCCGCGAAGCTCTGCAGCAGGATCCATCGAAACTTTAAATGCTCGTACATTTCGGCCTCCACATTTCTCCACCTTAACTATGCCCAACCCAACGGAAATAATAGCGGAGATGTTCACCCCTGCAGCGCTGCTTGCTCAATCAAAAGACTGGGATAGGAGCAGGGATTTCCTTTTCCACTGAGGAGGTAGAAAAGGGGAAAGAACAGCCTGACAGCAAAAATAAAGCTGAACAATCACAATCTCCAGTGCTTATATATAAAAAGTAAATAAATAAATAAAAGCGCTTCCCAGTGGCATGCGGAGTCCAGGAGACAGAGTCCAGGAGACAGGTGAGAGCGGAGAGCAAAGCCCCCACGCCCAGCTGCAAATCCAGCTGCAAATCGCCCTGCATTCCGCAAGCTCCGACTTAAGTTTCGGTTTCCAGACCCTCCCTCGGGGTCAGCTTTGGTTTCTAGTTTCCTTTTCCTGCTCGGGTCCTTCCTTCAACAAAGACGTGCCAGCTCCCACCCGCGCCGCCGCAGGGGAAACGCACGCACGCGCACTCGCCTGGCCACCTGCCGACGGTCAGGGTCCCCAGGACAGAGAGCGAGGGGACGCAGAGCCTGGCCACCATGAGGTAAGGGCTTTCCTCCGCCTCGGCGCGGAGCCCTCGGTTGGCCTTTGTTTCAGACCCGAGTTGTTCTGGATCGCATCCCCCACCCGATGCTGCGGCCCTGGGCGAGGCCGAGCCCTTAACGCCCGCAGCTGGGCGGCTGCGTGCGGGACACCCTGCAAGTCCCGTCCCTTCGCGGGTGTCAGCGTCCACACCCGCGGGGCGTGTGGCCAGCGACGCCCTCGCCTTGCGGCTCTCTAGGCTGCCGCGACGGTGTGTGCTGTGTGTTCGCGCCCACAGCGGGGTAACGCGGGTCAGCGCTGGCCGGGAGACCCCGGAGCCCCGCGGGCGGCGCTGGCACCTGCTCCCAAGGCCTGTCGCGTGCTTCTTTCCGGCCGCGCCCAGCTGCCATCCCCCGGTGGTACATGGGGTGCCCGCGGCCCTCCCGGGGGCGCAGATGCCCGCCACCGCCGTTTTGCCTTTCTGATTCTGGGTCTGCGTTCCCCAGGCCCCGGGACCTGCCCTGGCACAGGTGCCGCTGTGATGGTTTCTGTCTCCCAAGGACAGCGACGAATTGCTTCTTTTCTAGCTATGGAACCAAATTGCCTAGAGACGAATGTCGCCCTCCCTACAGCGCCCACAGGCAAGGTTAAAAGACTAAGTAGACGAAGGGCATCCAGCAGAGCGTCCACCCTGAGCGCTCCGGCTGCAGGGTGACACCTGAGCAGCCTCCTCACCTGTGGGCGGGGCTCCGGGGACCTTCGAAACCGAAGGACTTTTGTCTCTGTGGTAGCGAGTGGCTATGGAGGCTATGTCGTTGTGGACGGGGCAGATGTGATCAGCGGGGCATGCCCTGTTCATCCTACTCGGAGAAAGGAATCAGGGGGCCTCCTGCCTGAGTCAGGATGACGGGAAGGGGGCCGAAACTTGTTTACAAAATCCAAACGGGGAGCCAGAAAGAGCATGCAAGCTAGAAAGACAGGTGGTGGGGGATGGGGGTGGGGAGGCATAGAAAGCAACCATGGATACCAGAGACAATGCGGGAGGAGGGTTAGACAGGGCAGAGGGTTAGGGATAGAAATCAAGGATAGAAAAAAAAAAAAGGCAAAATATATAAGAAATGGAAAATTAAAAAGAAAAAAAAAAGACAGGTGGGGGCCAGCAGTGTCATGGAGGTGAGGGCAGCTGACCCACATGGCCCACTGCGTTGTGCAGGTGCCAGACCCAGCGGCTTGAAAAGCACCTCAGCCCGGGGACCAGCAGTTAGCGTAATGGCTATGTCGCTGGACTCCCACGTAGTCTACCGCGGTTCAAGTCG